CACCAGACAGGGCACTGCTGGCAGCTGTTGGGCTATGCCAATGGGGGGTTCTGGTAGGAAAGCAAGAGGACTGGAAGGGAGAACAAGGCACAAATCTCAGGCTCCGTCCGCACGCGGCCACCCGATGCCTGCTTCTCTCGGGTGAAGGTCACAGCTCTTGTTGGGCCAGCTACTCTACTCCAATGTAGTTCAGCCCGCAGCCCGAGAGCTATGTCGCTCCCACTGCTGCTGCCCCCACAGCTTTGCAAGCTCTTTGCTTTTCCACACCCTCCTCACATTACCCAATGCGAGTGTGAACAACACACAGAGGGCATGCGGGTGAGGAAGGCAAAGAACACCCAAGTTTAAAGGGCTAGGAGAGGGAGAAGCAACAGGCTAAGTAGCAGGAAGGCTGAAGGAGAGCCACGGATTAAGAAACCAGGGGAGGAGTTTCCAGGAAGGGGCAGCCAACAATTTCATGAAGATTTCAAGAAGGTCACGTAAGGATGAGCTCTTCAAGGTATATTGGTTGGGCCATCTGGAGGAGCAGCCCGGATGAAGAATGAAGAGAATTGGGTGGGTGGCTATGGGAGGAGGGATCTGAACTAGAGATTGGGAAAGAGATAAGAAATGAAGAGAGGTGGAAGGGAGTGAGGCAGAGATAGAATCAGAGCAGAGGTAGGAAAAGGAGGCAGGTAGGCCACGAGTGAGGAAATAGGACTCTTTAGTGTAGGTGGGGTAAGCAGGTAGTACCCGCAGGCATTTCGTGTCTGAGCAGCATACACACACAGATATAGAACACACACCCTCACAGCTGCAGACTATATACATTTATACCAACACCCATACTTGTCAACACCAACGTGCTTCACCACACATAGCAAAGGACACACAGCTGTATACATTCAAAGACCATCACTCCACGTCATCACCCCTACTGACCAGACGCACCCACTGCGTCACATGCACAACAGTCACAGCCAGATGGTAGACCTCATGGGAGCCCATGAAGCGTCAGAGCTTGGCACGGCTGCGACTCTTGTCCATCTGCTGGCATCACATTTGAACATTGAACCCTGAATGGGGCAGATGAGGAAAGACTGGTTGTTGGTATTTAGGGCATAGCGGCTGGTGTTCTGTGAATACCTCTGGTGTGGCTACCTGCGCCGTGACCCTCACCTAGGGTATTGAGGAAGCCTACACCTTGCCATGTACTGACTTCCTAAGCAATTTAACTGGGAGGGGGGCTGAGAACTGATATCCATCAGCCATAACCCAAATGCTCTCCATACAAGGAATATCCTGGGGTGAAAAAAAGCAAGTCTCAGTTCACTATATACATGCATGATAGTCTTTTCATAAAGTTCAAGAACATCTCAAACTAAACTCCACAATTTAGGAACCTCCCTGATGGCTCAAGGGGTTAAAGACAGTGCTATCAAGCCATTGCCACTGCAGCAAGAGCTTCATCCCTGACCAGGGAGGTGACCCACATGGCACAGCAGACCTCTCCTGTCTTATCCAATGCTCCCCTCAACAGTGTTTCAGTAGAGCTGCCTGTTCTGTTCCCCACTCTGTCTCTGGTGAATCATCTCACCCCCTGCTCCTATGGCCTGTACCCCAGTTCTTGTATGCATAAATAAATAAATAAATATTTAAATAAACACTACAATTTAGGAACACATGCTTATAAAATAAAATTTAAAAAAAAAATTTTTTTTAACTAGGAGAGGGCCCTCCCTGGTGGTGCATCAGCTTAAAATGAAGCCCTATGAAGCTCTCCCCAGCCACTGCAGCACAAATTCAATCCCCAGCCAGGGAGGTGACCCACATGCCGTGGTAGACCACTTCTGACCTACCAGCTATTCCTCTCAGCAGTGTATTTCAGTCTGCCTATTCTGCTCCCCATTCTGTCTCTGGTGAATGCTTTCACCCCCTGTACCTCTGGCCTGTACCCCAGACCTTGTGTACATAAATAAATAAATCTTAAAAAACTAAATAAAAATATTAAAAGGAAGAGAATGTAAACCAAATACAAGACAGTGGGTTAGAGAAGGAAAGAAATGGGAGAGTAAAAGGGAGGGTCATGGACAGATGAGTGTCATTGTTACCATCTGTTTCTTGAGCCGGGGGTAGTCTCGCCACCCCATATAATAAGAATATATATAATACAGTTCTATATAGTAAATGCAATATACATAATGTATAATAACAGCAGGCTATTCTAAGGCTAATGATAAGAATATATCAGTAAAGGATTATGATTACTCCAACTCTGGATGTTGGATGCTGTGTTACAACAAATAAAAATAAAGTCTGCCCTCTCAGCTGACCCTAGTTCTTATTTTTGCACTTCCTCCCACAGACAGTACTAAGGGGTCACTGCAACCTTGAGCTTGGCAATAGGGTTGCTAGCGCAACGCCCGGCAGGAAATGAACTGGGGGATGAAGCCATATCTGCTTGAACACTGTTCTCAATATGTCCTTTGTGGTAAGGGTTTCCAAGAACCAGAGGAGCAGTTGAAGGAGCTGAGCAACTTTTACCAGAAACATACCCCTGCCCCACCCCCGCCTTCTCTTTACCGCCTTCAGCTCTTGCTCTCCACTCAGGTCCAAGTGAAGGGTAGTTCACAAGGATCAGTAAAGACTATTTCCATAGAACAGCACAAGGTACCCACTCCTTGACCGTTTCCTGGTTTGAAAAGTGCAGAAGATGCTAGCCTCTGTGCATTTCTCTGTTCAACCTGTCCTGTTCAGTGCCTTGCTGTACAGGTGAACCAAGTGAGCTCATCCTTCAAAGTCCAGATGAAATGCCACCTCCTCTTTGAAGTCTTCCCAGGTTACTTAGCCAAGGGCAGTAATAACTCCACCTGCCACCTCCTATGTGATCATAAAAAAAATTGTATTTTTTAAAAAAATATAGCATGCAATATTTAAGGCAAACCAAAAGCTATAAAGAAAAATGCAAACACTTTGGTCTTCGCAGTCTGGCTTATGAAATAAAACAGTGCCCCAAAAGTTGAAGCACCTTGGGTAGATGCTCCTCTTCAAATCACAACATCCCTTTGACTGGGAATTTATTGCCCATACTTCTTAGCATTTTAATTACATATGTATGAATCCTTAAGCAGAAGCACTAGTACCCATTTGGATGTGAGTATCACATTTGTTGGGATGTTGTTATTTCATTTCATCGTCCTAATTATCCAATCTTAGGCTATGTCTAGAGATTGATCTATTTAAAGACTAATAGATAGATCTAAATTTAATCTAAATAATTTAGAGATTAATCTCACAAAGGTATAATAACATGCCCAAGTCATCTAGGCAAGTTCTGTGGTCTTAACCTGAGTACTGTGGACATATTTTTGTTTGCTCTTTAGCTCTCTCTTCACACTAGATTTTAAACTGTCCATGTGCAGACTAAATATGCTCTTTTGAGCCCTCTCTGGTGGCTCAACAGGTTAAAGCACAGCACTGTGAGGCTGTCCACAGACACTGCAGCATGAGTTCGATTCCTGGCTGGAAGCTGACCCACATGGTACAGCAGACCTCTCCTGACCTGCCTCTCCTGACCTGCCCCCTGCACCCTTCAGCAGTGTATTTTGGTCCATCTGCCTATTCTGCTCCCTACTCTGTCTCTGGTGAATCCTGTCACCCCCTACATCTCTGGCCTGTACCTCAGTTCTTGTATGCATAAATATTTAAAAATAAATAAATATGCTCTTTCACCCTTCCCATACAGTCCCTAACATCTTGCACCCCGTAGGAGCAGTTAGGAGCACAGTTTGTGTTTCTTCAAAAAGACAGTCTCCCATCACCCTGCAGTCTCAACAAATGACAGGGCATTTCCACTTCAAGGGGAAGAGTGGACTTCACTGTATTTCTTTAGTTTGGAGCAACTATAAATTGCTCAAGTGGGAACTTTACAGAAAGGATGAGGTATGCAGCCCTCAAGGGGATGGGAGTTTGTGTTTTGCAGGAGGAAGAAGGGACTATAGAAAAGAGGAACTCAGAAACTATCATCCCCCAGAACCAAAAAATCCTTCCTTCCTCTCCTGCAGCCACGTGGGGGCTGAGTAAGGGCTTGGGGTCTAATTCCAGCTTAAGGGTAGAGAGTGGAGAATCCAGAGTACTGTGGGTTGGGTCCTCATACAAGCTCACTAGAACATCTGGGCTGGTGTCCAAAGGGTGTGTGCAAGAGACCGACCAGGAGCAAAGATAACCCACAAGGAAGGATGTTAGAATATGCTGATGCTCCCGAAGAAAAGTAACCAATTTAAAAATATTTAATGCAAATTGACAGAAATCACTCCTACGTATTCAGAGACCTCCTAAACTGGATTCCTGGGTTCTTCCACTTTCTAAACACTGACAGTGGACAAGGGGCTTCAACAGATTCCTCAAAGAAACCAGACTAAAGATCCTAATTACCCCAGCACAAGTGCTAGGAAAAGGGCAGTATACAAACCCTTCCAACAAGGTTTTTGGAGGAAAAAACCTGGGTAAAAAGGAAAAAATGAATTTTCACCCATCAGCTATTGCTGAACCACACTAAGTGTGAAAAGAACTTGAATCAAGAAGTAATACAAGTAGATAGCTTTTTAGTAAACTTACCATATATTAAGGGCAAATCATCAAAACATTTAATTAGTAAGACAGTTGGGGAAAAGCTTCAGTTATTAGTTCCAACACCAGGCCCAAATCTGGTTACCACTAGGTCAGCCCTCTCCAGTAGAATCCGACAAGGGGGATCTAGTCTTACTGCCACGAGTGACAGTACCTGGGAAGACAGCCACATTTGACTGAATAGTCCGGCTTTAGAATTTGGTCCTTCAGTCCTAATCCACAAAGATTGACCCCTCCTGTCTCCTGGGCCCTACGGACGTTTTGGAATCTCCTGATGAAAGAAGCCAGAGCTAAGCTGAAAGTTGTTCCTCCTAACCCAGGATCTCAGTGCTCATGAAGTGTCCAATTAATACACATTAGCAAACCTCCGCAGGGACCACACTTAGAAGCCATGAGTTAAGACAAAAGGTTTTTATTCAAAAAACGCCAAGTATAAAAAAAAAAAAATAAGATCTCTTTTATTCCCCTGTATAGTATTTCACTCAGATAAAACCAGCAGGCTACATGCTGCTCAAAACACAGCCCCAGAGAGGATCCGGAAGGCACACCATCCAGAACTGCTTTTCATATAACTATCCTATGTACACCGCCAGCAACACCGCCCCGCCCCCACCCCCCAAGGTCCCACACCCACTCCGGGAAGCAGGCAGGGCCGGTGGCAGTCAGGGAGCTGCGGCCGCTGTCCTGCTGAGTCCCGTCACCCTAATAACAGAGCAAGCAGTCGCAGCCCTCCCCCAAAAGGTCCAAGTCAGAGGAGGAAAGGAGGAAAGAAAACTATGGCAGCAGCCGTGGAAGCTTGGAGCAGGAAGGGAACCAAATAAATAAATAAATAAATACATATTGTTGACCTCCAGGTTAGAATGCGCACCTTTTCCAAAAAAAAAAAAAAAAAGTAAAATAACTTAAAAGGCAAAATTAAAAAAAATTAGATCAACTACAATCCTTTTGTACACTACCATGCCAACTGTACACACATTTACAGTTTTTCTGATGATTTGCATTGTTTGTGCATTTTTTGTGTGTGAGGTCCTGGCTTTGAAACAGTTATGTAAAAACCAAAAAGGAAGACCAGTTCACTCGGAGTTTTACTAAAGGAGGCAGAAAAAAGGGCAGGTGGCTCAGCATTTGGCCCTGTAAGCCTCTTCCATGGCACCTTTCATATGTAAGATGGGGGAAAGAGATGGGGGGAAGAAAAAATGGGGAACCAAACCCAGGCAGATTTTTGGAGAAGCAGCAGGTAAGAGGCAAGTTCAAGTATTTCTCCCAGCACAGCCGGAGTCCCCACGAAGGCACTCAGAAGAGTCGGAAGAGGTGACAGGGACTTAAAATGGTGATAGTCCTACCCACCCCACCCCATTCTCCCCCTACCCGACCCATCTCGGCATTCAGCAGAACTTGTGATGAAGGAAAGTTTCATGGCAGGGTTCTGACCCACTCCCACCCCACCCCCCGCCCCGGGGATTTTTGCCGATTCCAGCAACGCTGGACACCTATGAGAAAGAGCATCTACAGGAAGAGTTGGGAGGACACCTGGAGCACAGTCTCTTCCCCCACTATCTGGAGGCAGCCTCCAGGGGCCTGGGGTCTGGAATGAGTTGTAAATGTTGTTCCTGTATCAAGCACTGTCCTGTTTGGCGAGAAGTGTCACTGGAAACAGAAACTTCCTTTCCCTCAAGTATCTGACAGGGAAGGGAGGATCTGTGAGAAAAGCTGCTATTTGCTGGGTCCTGATGAGAGGCTGTGGAGGTGGATTTCAGCAGTTTCCTGCGGCAGGAGGACATCCTGCATCCATGGATGGTTCTGGATATCTTCGAAGGAGGGCCGATCTGATGGTCTCAAGGCCAAGCACCATCTAATGAGATGCTGGCACTCTGCAGTGAGCAAACAAAGACAGGGGTTATGAATGACTCAACTTGTTTTTGCAATGCAAAGTTCTTCCCATTTGCTTTCAGGGGCCCAGAAGTCTAGAGTCCAGAGGCCAGAGCATTTTCAGGAACTCGTTCTTCAATGAGAACGTGGTAACTAACATCTGGAGACAGACTGCTTTCAGCTAAAAAAGAGCTCTCTTCTCAAACCTGTGGTTTTTAAACTTCAATAGCTGGGGCCTTTCCCACGACACCCACTCACCAGAAATAGGAAGGATGATGACAAGGGATTTTGATGACACATCACTGAGCGTGATGAGGTGATTCAATTCACCTACGAACTTACAAATATGAACACCACCCACAATGAGGTCACTGGATGTGAAATATTCAGAGCCTGCCTTAAGGGAGAAAGAAGGCTAAAGGAGCCCTCTACCTTTCACTCCCTAGCAAACAGCCAGCAGTTGAGGGAGCAGAACTCTGCTGGCACTGAAACCTTTCAGTGGAAAGGTCATTTCTCAAGTTTCAAATACAATTCATTCTTCCCTGGTGCCAGCTTCTGACCTTGGACTCTGCTTTTCTCGAAGCCTCTGCTAGAAAGTGAAACTCTGACACTTAAACTGTCCTAAGCACCAACAGCTTAATTCCTCCCCTCCACCTTCTCAACAAAGGGCCTCCCAGAAGTTACCTGAAGAGACCCGCTGCCTGAAGAAAACTTGGCCCCTGATGATCTCCTCATCATGCTCAAAAGGAATATCGCCACAAACCATGTCGTACAGCAGGATCCCCAGGGACCAGACGGCCGCCGACCTGCCATGGTAGCGATGGTAGCGGATCCACTCTGGAGGGCTATACACTCGGGTCCCTGTGAGTCAGGGGAATAGGAAGGGCAAAAGCACACTTTTAGCAAAAATAAAACACAGAGCAACTGTGTAAGTGTATGCTGAGTAACTCTTTTTAAAAAATCACCACCCTTCTCTCAGGAGCTGAGTGCACTCCATTTTTACCCCTGGGCTAAAGGGGTGGGTCAGGGCTGATGGCAACCTTCCAACCCAAAGCTTTACCACCTCTCTCCACCAATCCAGACCACAAGCTGAAATTCTTCACAAATCACTCCAAGAAACAAACAGGGTTGGCCGCAGACCCAAAGCCTGAGGCCTGTATGTGGCAGGACCACCCAATGGGAGAAGGGATGACTGTCTCCACAATCAAGGGAGGTAGCCCACAGACTGTCCTTAATTTGCATTCTGTTGGGGGAAGAGTTTGGGTGAGATTGTCATCTGAGATGAGCCAGGTGAGGACATCTGCACAATGTCCTAAGCCAGGGTGCCCTTTGGGCCGCTTTTCTCTCCGCCCTCTTGAGTGCAGACACCCACATCTCTTCCTCCCCACGCAGGGAAGATAGAGCTGCAGGGCTGGTTTGAAACCACGTGATTCCTGTTTACAAACTTTGGGTTGTAAAAAAAAAAAGTTGGGGCCATCCCCTTGGTGCTCACCAGGGGGCAGCAAAGACTCGAAGGAAAAAACCGGGAGGACTGGGCCAGCCATTAGCTGTTAATTTAAAAAAAAAAAAAAAAGAAAAGGCAGCCCAACCCAGCGTCCTCCAAGGGCAAATAAACACAAACCACAAGCCCCAGTCACAAGTTTTGAAAGGCTGTCGTTTGTTAAACTAAACCGCTCAGATGATGACCCACCCTCCTCCGCTTTGATCTCTGCCTCTCCATTCCTTCTTTTCTGAAAGAAACCGCTCCAAGCCCCTCCCTAGGATAGGTTTTCATCCTCTGAGGAGACACCCAACTCATTTTCAAACCAGCAAGAGATCTTATTTCACAACATTCATTCCCGACTACCTCACCCCACAACACACACAAATACACACACCAAATCAACAAAATGAATTATTGAGTGAAACTACTGCTTCTATTCCTTATCTGCCCCCCAGATCAAAGGGGCGGAAAAAAAAAGAAACGGCAGCTCTTCAAAACTACCTTAGAGAAAACTAAGTCCCTTATAAAACCAAACTGAAATAACAAAACCAGCGTCAATTTTCATCTCTCCCGCCCTCCCCTCCTCCCCCCCGATCCTGTCCTTTAACTGGCGGTGAAACTGGGTCAGACTTCAGAAATCTGGGCTACGGCCGGTTGTCCACAACCTCTTATTCATCGGGAACGCTCAAAACCCACTGAATTCCACTCAAAAATAAAATCGAGCCAGAAACATTACAGGTTCAGCTGCCTGGGAACCTCGGGTTTACTACGCCGGGAAGCTCGTTCGCCCCACCCCTGCCAGCAGCGAGCCAGGCGGCCCGATGACCTTTACAAAGGGCCTCTCGGAGAGGGACGCTGGCCGAGGCCTCCGGGCCTGGCCGCGTCACCTGGCAGCCCCCTCCCAGGCTGCTCCCTCCCCGGCGGGGCTCACCATCGAAGTCCGTGTAGACCGTGTCCTTGAGCAGCGCCCCCGACCCGAAGTCGATGAGCTTGAGCTCGCCGCGATTGAGGTCGATGAGGATGTTCTCGTCCTTGATGTCGCGGTGGAGCACCCCGCAGTTGTGGCAGTGCCGCACGGCCTCCAGCACCTGCCAGAAGAAGCTGCGGGCCAGCTCTTCATGCAGGGCCCCCCTTTCCGTGATAAAGTCGAAGAGGTCTTGCACCGGCTCGGGCCTCTCCAGGATCAGGACGAAACTGTCGGGCCTCTCGAACCAGTCCAGGAGCCGAATGACGCCGGAGAAGCCCGAGCTCACCTTCTTCAGCAGGACCACCTCCATGGGCACTCGGGTGCCACTGGGCTGCCGGGGCGAGGGAGGTGCGTCAGGGCGGGAGTCCAAGGGTGCCCCTCACCCCACCCACCTGGGGGTCGCTCCCTCCCGGGCACTCACCAACTCTCCCCAGTCGGAAATCCGGTCCTTCTCCACGTGCTTGATGGCCACCTAGAGCCCCCCCAAGAGAGCCTCCGTTAGGTCATGTCGCGGGGGCCGAAACACACCCATGCGCCCTCCCCGCGGCGGGGCGCCCGCTCACCGGCAAGTTGTCGGCGACACGGATGCCCGAGTAGACCGAGCCGAAGCCGCCGCTGCCCAGAAGCGGGCCCACCTGGTACTGCGACTCCAGGGGCTCCTTCTCCTTGCCTGGGGAAGGGAGAGGCACCGGGGGTTCAGGGCCGGCCCGAGCGCGAGCCCCCCGCGCCCACCCCCGGGGCCCAGCCCCCGTCGCTCCCGGGGCTGGGGAGGGCGCTCACCGGGCGCCAGCTTGGTGGCGTGCAGGTCGCCGCAGGGCGCGGCGCGCAGGTGGGCAAGAGAGTTGATCTTCGACAAGAGCATCCCAACCTCCAGGGTGTCGGCGGCGGGGCTGTGTCTGGAGGAGCTGCGGCAGGAGCTGGGGCTGGGGTTGCGCCGGAGGCTGTGCCGATGGCGGGGACTGAGGCTGCGGGTGGCGTTGCGGCTGTGG